GTGCTGGTAACGAAATCTATTCCATTCAGTCCTCTCTAAATCGAGATCTGCTAAATATTAGTCATTGGCTGACGGCGAATAAACTGACCCTTGATATGACTAAAACCGAATTTATGTCAATTGGTACAAGGCAAAAATTGAATAATTTACCTTCTCCAACAGCTATAGAAATTAATGTCACTCGGATAAATCAAGTCTATTCAACCAAATCTCTCAGTATAATCATAGACGGTAATCTTACTTGGGTTAACCATATCGACTTATTATTGAAAGAAATTGCTGCTGGTATTGGAGCTATCAAACGAATCATACACTATGTACCTCCGCAACTCTACATGATATATCTACCTGGGTATCGTTCAATCGCACTTTGATTATTGTAATGTTGTCTGGGGTAATTGTGCAAGACTCCAAAACCGCGCTGCTCGCATTCCTACTCATTACAGTCATGATGCCTACGCCGATGAAGATAAGCATGTTTTAGCTATGTTTTTAAACTAGGAATTATTTTGAGTGAATAATAAAACAATTATGAAGTCGGCTTTTGTATTATATGAAGAATTATGCAGTTCCCTGCTTTGCTCGGCGCGACAGCAAACCCACGTGACTTCCGTTTCCGTCACCAGTAAAGTAGCGACGTCCACATTGGAGTCATGTGGTATTTTAGTTCCATTCCTTGTCTCTTTTTCTTTTTGCTGCCTCATCCTCGATCGGCAAGCTTCGTTCGTTCCTACGGAGCATCAGACAATATTTTACCATGTTTGAAACACGATCTCACGTCACCGACAAAGCAGGGTAAATTGTGATTGAGTGCCACGGGCAGCCCAGCGACAAAGGCGATTTATGCTATTGCCACCGGTTGTAAAAACTAAGAACAATCAAGGTCACAGGTAATTCTACTGGGCAATGTGACGTCCACCCGTCCATTCGTGCGAAAGACCAATTTGTAATGTCTTATTTTCCTAGTTCATGTTTATCCCTTCCTCTGGCAGTGTTAACAAAGGATTAGAACCAGGAGGAGAGGCACGCAATTTGGCTTGTATCACAAAGTGCAAAGAGTTAGATAACTAAGTACGTTCGATTTGAAACAACAGCAACAACTAAACAAAAAGAAACAAAAAAGTGCTTTTATTGAATTCGTTCTACCTATGTCCAAAACAAGTCTAAATTAGGATAATGTCCAATACCGAATGGTATCATCGTCAGCGTTTATTATTTCTTGCTGTTTTCTTTTCTTTTTCTTTTGTTTTTTCTTTGCTGGTTTGTTTTGTCTTGATTTTTTTTGTGGTTGAGTATATCTCTAACGTACCTTTATAATTATACATGTAATATTGGCCTGTACATTAGTCATAGGTTCTACAAAAATTATCTGTGTAAAGCTCAGTGTCATTTCTCATTCTCATTTCATTTCAGTGTCGTTTTATTTAAAAGTAGATGGTGGTCAACTAGAAAGCTGTCCACCGCCCGACACACATTTGAAAACCCGTACCGTGGTTATTTTATTTTGTAATAATCTATTGTAACTATGCTTTTCTTTCTATGTTATTCTCTGTAAATAGTGTGAAATAAATGAACCATGAACCACTGAGTTATGGATGTACATACATGGACGTTGCTAAGCACAAAAGAAGGAGAGTCTCCAAAAGGGTTCTTTAATCCCGTAATCCCGACCTTAATTTCCGCGCAATCCCGTAACCCCGATGGTTATTTTTAACATACCACCTTCCGTGCAAACTTGCAATCCCAAATCTCGCCCCCATTTTGCTTTAAGATCCCGTATCCCGGATCCCGAAAAACCAATCAAGGACCCACAAGAAAATGCGACGGACTAGCTTTTTGAGAACTTAGCAATCCTTCTAAGTGCGTTCATAACTCAAAAGTAAACGCACTGAGCCATATGCCATTTGTTCTGTAACATAATAAAAACAGAAAAACATATATTTGCCCTCATGTAACTGGTAGCTGGTAGTAGGGGTGTCTATATCAACTTAATTGTTGAAACACACTGTTTCAATGTTTCAGAATATGTTTGTGCTGTAACACGCAATTTGCGATGATTCATCTCTCAAAATTTCCCTTGGCCTAGAGTCAAAGAGGGCGCTTTCAGTGGTCAATAATTTTTGGAAATCTTTTATTATTGCTCTATCTGCAAAATTTTTTGTGTGGTATAAATTCACTTTCGTTTCTTTTGATCGAAAAATATTTGAATTTTAAATATAATTCATTGAAGGAACATTGACTAACATTTTTGTGAGAACTAAGTATTTTGCACAATAAGCGATACACCTTTTTGAAGATAATATTTACTTACAATATATATCCAAAACAAGTAGGTATTCATAGATTTGGGATGACATTGAGCAAGTGCCTTACACATATATATTGGCCCTTAAATTTAGAATTTAGAATAAAAATATGTTCAAACCTAATATAATTTTGTATAACAACAACTTCAGAAAAATTGTTTTGATGATTGTAATATTGGACGACTCATTCGACGAAACGGCAGTATTAGTTGCCAAAAATTAAGGGGGCATTCTTATTAGTTGTTGTTGTTTTTTTTTTTTTTTGGGCAAAATAGGATTGATTTGAAAAGGAAAAAAAATAGAGTAGAAAATTAATTTAACATTGAGCACAGAGGTACCTTTTTTTGGTGGGGAAATATCTTGTATTAGTCCAACTGTATTTTATGTCTTATTTTTTTACAACCAATAATTCCAATATTTTTCAAATTTTTATCATTTACCCTATTTCCAAATTTTTAATTTTTAGTCATTAAAAAAATTCAAAAATCACCCAAAGCGGACGGACGGTCGGGCGTACGGTCACGTGATTACCAAATTTTCTCGGATGGGTAGATTACCACATTTCCTTAGCTATGGAGCTCCGTCCACACGCGCGCTTCGCGCGCGAGTGGAGCTCCGCTATTATTTCTTGTTGTTTTCTTTTCTTTTTCTTTTGTTTTTTCTTTGCTAGTTTGTTTTGTCTTGATTTTTCTTTTGGTTCAGTATATCTCTAACGTACCTTTATAATTATACATGTAATATTGGCCTGTACATTAGTCATAGGTTCTACAAAAATTCTCTGTGTAAAGCTCAGTGTCATTTCTTCAGTCGTTTTATTTAAAAGTATATGGTGGTCAACTAGAAAGCTGTTCACCACCCGACACACATTTGAAAACCCGTACCGTAGTTATTTTATTTTGTAATAATCTATTGTAACCATACTTTTCTTTCTATGTTATTCTCTGTAAATAGTGTGAAATAAATGAACCATTAACCATTGAGTTATGGATGTACACACAGGGACGTTGCTAAGCACAAAAGAAGGAGAGTCTCCAAAAGGGTTCTTTAACCCCGTAATCTCGACCTTCATTTCCGCGCAATCCCGTAACCCCGATGGTTATTTTTAACATCCCACCTTCCGTGCAAGCTTGCAATCCCAAATCTCGCACCCATTTTGCTTTAAGATCCCGTATCCCGAAAAACCTATCAAGGACCCACAAGAAAATGCGACTGACTAGCTTTTTGAGAACTTAGCAATCCTTCTAAGTGCGTTCATAACTCAAAAGTAAACGCACTGAGCCATATGCCATTTGTTCTGTAACATAATAAAAACAGAAAAACACATATATTTGCCCTCATGTAACTGGTAGCTGGTAGTAGGGGTGTCTATATCAGCTGAATTGTTGAAACACACTGTTTCAATGTTTCAGAATATGTTTTTGTTGTAACACGCAATTTGCGATGATTCATCTCTCAAAATCTCCCTTTCAGTAGTCAATAATTTTTGGAAATCTTTTATTATTGCTCTATCAGCAAAATTTTTTTGTGGTATAAATTCACTTTCGTTTCTTTTGATCGAAAAATATTTGAATTTTAAATCTAATTCATTGAAGGAACATTGACTAACATTTTTGTGAGAACTAAGTTTTTTGCACAGTAAGCGATACACTTTTTTTGAGAAAATATTTACTTACAATATATATCCAAAACAAGTAGGTATTCATAGATTTGGGATGACATTGAGCAAGTGCCTTGCACATATATATTGGCCCTTAAATTTAGAATTTAGAATAACAATATGTTCAAACCTAATTTTGTATAACAACAACTTCAGGAAAATTGTTTTGATGATTGTAATATTGGACGACTCATTCGACGAAACGGCAGTATTAGTTGCCAAAAATTAAGGGGGCATTCTTCATGGTTTTGTTTTTTTTTTTGTTTTGTTTTTTTTTTTTTTCCGGGAAAAATAGGATTGATTTGAAAAGGAAAAAAAATAGAGTTGAAAATAAATTTACCAATGAGCACAGAGGTACCTTTTTCCGGTGGTGAACTATCTGGTATGAGTCCACCTGTATTTTTTGTCTTAATTTTTGACAACCACTAATTCCAATATTTTCCAAATTTCCATTATTTACCCTATTCCCAAATGTTTAATTTTTAGGCATTAAAAACATTCGAAAATCATCCAAAAATTATCTCACATTTTTGAAGCATTGACTACGATCTTATGAGGCCATATGCACCAATATCCAAATACAAACTCTGCAGACTGATCTCTTAACATTTCGTTAAAGAATTGGTTGAGAGAATTTGTTTGCTGATCAAAGCTTTTCCTATCAGGTGATCATTTTATTAATATTGTCGCGAGAAATTGACCTTGGACACTTTTTGGACTTTAGGCTTTTTACGAGAAAAAAAAACCATGAATTCTATGGTACAATATTGTGCCTGTAGCAATCATGAACTTATCTGAAGATAAGTTAAATATAGTCGTCACTGAAATAGAAAGTACTTATTAGAATTTGTTGCTCACACAACACCGAATGAGAAAGGCGCAATTTTAGCTATAAATAAAATAAGAAACTATAATTAGGCCTTGCAGCAAGACCCTTTTTTTCGTAAATATCCTTAGGCTCGTAGGTTACCATTTCCCGAGAGGATGCGCCTGTGAGAAGCTTGCGGGTGGTCGAAAGCAGCGAGGGGTGATTGAAAATGTTGGTAGTTCGATGGTTTGGCAGCATGTGTTTGGTTCTCTGCTACCTGTTCCTAGTTTTCAGCAGCTGTGCAGCAGTACCTAGAAAAACAGCATCGGCGCTGGACGATGTTTTCGACGAAGATTTTGGAAATTATATTGGAAAGGGTGCTTTGACTCAAGGCACTGAAAATGTGGCCGAGAACAATGGTGATTATGATGAAGAAGAAATAGATCGGGACATGGAAGAAGGAAATAAACATGGAAGAAACAATAAAGATCACGATGCAGACATTAGAGAGAATGAAGAGGAAGAGAATGAAAATGTCGATGAAAATAATAATGGAGATGAAAACGACCTAGATAACTTAGACGAAAACAACGAAGGGAATAACATTGAAGGTCAGTATGAAGATCGGAGGTGGCGTGGCCGAGCTGTAAGAGTGCTGGACGTTTAATTGGGCGGTCTCCAGTTTACGTGCTGCACTAAATCCAAGTCCAGCGCTCAAATCCTCGGCCACTCTTGTAAAATAGCCAACTGGTTTTCCTCGTACCATTTGGGATTTTTAACCGTGACATGTTCCATTAAAAATTGTTTGTTTCATTATCCTCGAAAAGCCCCATAAGGGGAGAGGATAATTAAAATATTATTATCAATATCATTGTCATTATTATTAGATCAACTGAACACAGAGGATAACGACTGCGAGGATGAGGAAGGAGAGAATGAAAATGAAGATGATGAAACAGCAGTGAAGGAAGAAAATGAGTTAGAAGTTGTTTCAAGATATGATAAAAATAAAAATGATAACGAAGGTAAGATCTTCAGATCTGATAAGAACAAAAAAATTAAATTAAAAAAACACACACACACTTTGGCCTATTGAAGAACCTCATCTGATTTCAATACACCGATATCAAAATCGCATGAAACACTAAGGCAAAGGCCAAACGATGAAACTTTTGCCGAAATAAAATTTGTGAGTTCAGTTCGTCTGAATGAGTTTCGATCGTACTACACGTTCTATCGGTCTGTTCAGACGGACAGAAACGTCTGAAGATCGTCTTTGGGACAAATGGCGGTCTTGTTCCCATGCAAAGAACTAAACTAATAAATTAAAAATTTGTATCGTATTGGTATATTTAGCCTCGTGCGGGGAAAATTTTATGAAAATTTCTTTTTGGTCTGATTCAGTTGAACGGTTCGACGTCTGACCCAACAGAAGATCCTACCTTAATTCAGGTCGACCAAAATTAGAGTCTGTTTCGTCTCATGAAAAGTTCGACGTTTGACTACAATAGGCCTAAGGTGAGTATTCTCAAATCAAAAAGAATGATTTGAAGAAATTATTATCTGAAGCTCGCAAAAATTTGAGGTTCTTAAGATCGGATATCTAAAACACTTTCATAGTAGCAATTTTCTTTACTTTCTTTTCGTGAAATATCAAATAATTTGAGGAAGTGTTTCCACTTATAAATGGAAAAAATGAAACGTTGTCTGCTCGTGGAAGTGGTACTGGGATATTAGTTTTTAACACATTGGTTACTCAAATAACACATTGGGCATTATTGTTTTGTTATTCTCTTTTTTAACAAATTAGACTTTGAAATCGAGATGAATAGTGATAGGTTGAAAAACGAGATGCCAATCGGCAAAACACAGAGTTCAGGCCAAACATTTTGATTCTTTCATGGGGATTACGAATTATCCTCTCTCAACGGAGTCAATATTTCTCCAATACAAATATCAATGCAAGACTTAAAGACTTAGTGTGGGACGAGCCTTGGTGGGATACAAGTGATTGCACAGTTTATAAATCCATATGTATTAAATTTAATTCATGCTACACCTCTCCGTACTACAATTGTTAGTGTTTCATATCTTATATGTTTTCAAGCATGTTATGTCGCTTGGTATATGAACGCTTCAATAAGAGATAAACTGTTGCATCTCAATGACCTTTGGTCACGAACATTGATTGAATAACCGACTGATGAATAACTGATAAGAGTTCGTGCTATCGCGACTGTATATCTCAAGTTGTGCGTTTTCACAGACGTCTCTCCTCAGTCACCTTTCGCAAAGCTACCTGTGAGGGAACTAAAAAGCAATTGTGAGTAACATAGTTGAATTCAATAACAGTCTTGTTTACTGTGTTGATGAATTTAATTTCCACGTTCATGATCTACTTTGATTCCTTCTGTTGATACTGGAATTCTTAAATAACTAGGGCTTTCTTATTCACGCGCACAATTATGAAAGCGGTTCTCAACATCAATCACACCTTTAAGGTAAAAGCACATGTTCGCCCGCACCTCCTAACCGATGGTTACTGCTAGTCCTTTTTTTCACCTCACTAGGAATAAATCAGCATGAAACTGAAGACCATCAGCGTAGGCGACGAAGATGTCGAAGACGTGGGCGATTCAGGATACGCGTTAAAGTCATGAGGCTTGGTCAAGGATATCAAGGACGTCGCATCATATGCGTAGCAATATGGGGCCGTAGACGCCGTAGGAACCGCCGGAGACGCCGACCCATCAAAATACTATGTACACGAATTAGGCGACGCCGAAAACCTACTCCGGCCCCCACTCAGGGACCTACGCAGGGAACTCCTCCGGAACCTACTCAGGGACCTAGTCAGGTACTCACTCAGGAACCTACGCAGGGAACTCCTCCGGTACCTACTCAGGGACCTAGTCAGGGTCCAACTTCTGAAGTTACGCAGGGAACTCCTCCGGGGCCTACACAGGGACCCAGTCAGGGACCTCCAGCACCTACTCCAAAAACTACTATGGGAACTCCTCCCGTACATACTCAGCCACAAACTCCCAAAACTACTCAGGGACCTCCTCCAAAACCTACTCAGCGACCTACTCAGCGACCTACTCTGACACCTACCCAGCTACCTACTCAGGGACCACCGGGGCCTTCTGAAGGACCCGCCACAGGACCTACTGCTGGACCTACTCCAGGACCTTCTCAGGGACCTACCGACGGGTCCACTGATGGGCTTACTGAGGGACCTTCCCAAGGACCCACTGCGGAATCTTCGGCACCTAGTCCTGGAGGGACAGAGCCCACCCCTGGAGGAACAGAACCCACTCCAGCAGGACGATAGATATTCTACTGAATGCAACATTGTCAGCAAGGCTACGTTTATATTGAAGGAGATTTGTACGTTTTCGTGGTGAGTCCGGAACACTTTAGCATCAGATTTGATTTCCTCTTTTACATGCGGATGCATGATTCCGAAAGAAAAACGTGCCGACTTGCTCGCGTGTTAGGAGACTTTGAATCAATAATGTAGAGTGGATACTTTCAGTCTTGTATCTGAATGATTGTTCTCCAATAAACCGAGGCTTGTAAACGCCTTCAAATCCAAATGCCTTAAACATAATAAATCTGGAAGCAATTAATCGAAAAAGTCTCCTCTAGTGTGAACATAGCCTAAATTAAACTAAATTACACAGTGCAACCCCGCTTATAATACGTCACCTTTTTTGGAGACGTGGATTTTTTTCCTTTTTTTTCTTAACGGAGAAGTGGCACAACAATGAAGTAATCGTGTGAGTGCTGCAGATCAATTTGCCTTTAATAGGCCGTTGCATGATGACGTCATTTTACTACTACGACCAAAACCCTTCAGGGCTTTTGTTAATCAAACCTTGCTGAGATTACCAAATCTGAATATGAAAGGAAAAACGAAAAGGATTCTCGTTGTAGTAGTAAAACGACGCCATGGAGAAAATGGCCTATTCCTCTAGAAATCAACCCTTTTGCAGTTATCTGACAAAGTTGTAACCACAGTCCATTGAAACCGAGTTTTTTTTTTTTTTAATTTTTACCGAGAGTCTATTTCATTTCTGCCAAACATCAAAAGTTTGCAATTCGTCCTTCAGTACAGATTCTAAGCAGCTGAGATCAATAAAAGATACTGGTGTCGTCAGCAAAAGTGAAGACTGAGTTGATTTAGAAGTACTAGAAGACTGTTTATTTATAGTAATAAAAAATAAAGGACCTAGATGGAACCTCGAGGGACACGAACCCTGAAAGGTCTGCAATGGGGAGCAAGCTAGATTGAATTGATCAAATTGTTTCCGGCGAGAAAAATGTCTTTAAATCCACTGAAGAGCCGCACAACAAATACCAAAGTGCTCCGACTTAGCAAAAAGGATTTGATGATGAGTGTTGACTGTATTGAGTGAATTAACGTATATGATTTCTAGTGATTTTTTTGGAATCCAAATTGACAGCAATACAGTATGTATTTCGCATTTTTTTTCTTTCAGCAAATTCTACTAGGCGGTTGTACATAACTCCCCCACCCCCGTCCCCCCTCAAAAAAATTAAAAATTTAGTAGCAGCGAAATTGGTCTATAACTTCCAAAATGACTAGGGTCCTCTGCTTTATTGACGAGGATCACTTTAGCAAGTTTCAATTTGTCCGCGAAAACATCTGTAAGTAGAGAAAGATTAACAATATTTACCAGAAGTTCAGAAATGAGGTAAAAGAAAAGTTTTATATCTCATGCATAGGGATGTTACCGTGCCTCTCTAGTCTAGTCTACATTTCATTTTTTATCTTTTAACTTAATAGGCCATCTCCCGCAAGTGTTTTCATATCACTAGTCTTATGTTTGAGGAACTTTACCCCAATTATCCTTTATCGGTAAAGGATAACCTGAATCAGTGCCTTTCTGGGGGAAATTAGAATATCGAATATACTCTGAACCCTTAAAAACATAGAGTTTCCCATTTGGTTAGATATGAAGCAATCCCATCAAATTCGCTTCTAAAGTTTTCAGGCAAACTTCCCATTCCCCACTATTCAACATAAGCTATTCTTTTGTTGGAGTATCTTACATAAGAGTCACCTTTAGTTGCATAGGTGACGCCATTTGGGAGCTGAACAAATGCATAAAAACCCGATGAAAACTGCGGTACATTCACAAAATCCCAGCCTCCCAGACTTTGGATAGCCTGATGATAATACATTTGTGTTTGGATTTTTAAATCGAATGTACTGGGCACCATTAGTGGCAAAAGCTCTACCGAAAGCCTTGTGACAGACAAAGCTATCAAAACCTCGTTCGAACGTTCCAGGCAAATCCTTAAAACACCAACTCAACAGCGATGGAAAACGTTGAGAAAGATTATCTCCGACTACATTATTAAATTTCACAAAAAAAAGTTTCCCTTGAACAAATAAGTGGTACCGTCAATCCCGTGGTCAAAAAAGAACAATGTTTCTGTAAAAATTTCATTGGCTTCAGCATTATTAGCTGCGGAATGTGGATTTTCTTTGGTCAGTTTTTTTGCAGTCTTTTTTAGCATGTGTTAACTCGTGTATCGCAGTTGGTCCCCAAAACGTACATATACTGGTCTTACCATGTACTACAAACTAAGGTAAATATTGTGACTACATTTATACGTGTAAGCCAGAGGACCATAATGACAATCATACCCCTCAAAAGAATAGGTAATTTGACCATTTTCCAACGACTGCTTTATTAGTTCAAGGACGTTAACTACTTTTTGGCTAAGTTTTCCAAACTAAGTCTTAACACGTTCAGGACTGCGATTGAGATCAATGGTGGCCTCTTTTATAATGGTATGCGGCCCGATGAGCTTCTTTTACTGCAGCTCGTTGGCTTGCAGATCTTCCTATGATCGATGGATCACGAGGGGCATTTAACAATCTGACTGCGCTTTCCCAGACCGTTTTCCTCAAGGGAACGTGCCTTTTCTCCGACAGTTTTTCTAGACGGATTTTCCGTGACGTTAAACATGACCGGTAGAGAAGACAAATGCCCTGGTCTTTTGGGAATGGGTGGTTTGCTGTTACCCTTAGCATTAATTTCTACATATTCTATATACGTGTCCACTGCTACGGTGTAAGTTCCAGTTTCACTTACTTCGTATCCAGCCGAAACATCAAAAGATACCGAGACGGTTTTTCCTGCTGGGACAACCAATAAACTGTTTAGGACTCGGTAGGTTGCGCTTTAGTACCATCATATTCAATGTTCTTTCCACCTCTGGTGACTCTAAGACAGTCAGAAGGTTGTCCTTCCAGCGGAGTGTGCAGTTTGAGAAGAGAATAATCTCATTGGCCATTGTTTGTCTGGAAAAATACATTTACTCGAGGGCTATGCCGTTCGCTTGAGCCATTCTCGGTCGGTAGAGCTCTTGACTGCAGAGGAGCAGCCCTGACACTAAGGTACCCACTTTGCACTGTACGCAAGCGGTTAAACCTTGACTCATGGGAGATGACCACGTAAACTGGCGGGCTGTCCCGTCTCAAGTCGGAAGCGTAAAAATAATGTCCGCAATTAGTACTTTAATGACAAATACATTGACAATCGAATAAGTCTTATCAAGAGAGGATAAAGGGGTCAGAGAAGACATCCCTCATACACATCCTATTCCATAGGTAATTCGTCTCGAGTTATTTTTAGAATCGGGATCGAGTTACCTCGCGCGCTGCGTGGATGTTTCGTGGAGGTTTGGCATGACTAAACGCGGTGCAAAACATGTCGGGCGAAAGGCAATGAAAGCGTAAAGAGATCGAGAGCATTTCTGAATATTGAGGCGAAATGAGTCGACGCTCACCTGGGAAAATGGAATGGCTGGACTCTTTGACAATCCGTGAAATCAGTTTAACTGATCATCGTAACCTCAGTGCTTTAACAAAATGAGAAATTTCGCCGGTCTATTGAAACCGGTCTTTTGTACAATAAAGCAAGTAGAACGCCAAGTGTTATTTTTTTTTGAATAATAAAAGACTAATAAAAGAATAAATATCAAACCAGAAATTGCTCTCTTCAAACTGTAAATTATAAATAATCCTGAGAGAATATTCAGTGTTAAGGATTTCCCTGCTGTACTGTTAGCTCTATACAAGAGAGGAAGGGCGATTCTTTTTTAATTTCCATTTCGCTGACGCCGCTTTAGTAGAATTCTCTGTTTAGTCGTTTTCGTCGACAAAACGAATAGCAATATCGCTCTCCGTGTCTTCCGTCATTTTTTTAGCGTCATTTCGTGAAGGACGCGTGGTTCTGAGCGTGGGTCATCCGCGCGGAACACGTTCGTACTATGTGATTGGCTGTTGTCTAATCCCAATTGGGATCTGTGGTCCTAAAAATAACTCGAGACGATTTACCTATGGAATAAGGTGTGTATGGGGGATGCCTTCTCTGTCCCCTTTATCCTCTCTTGGTTTTATAAGACAATTTTTGTAAAATGCGAGTCGCCAAAGCAAAACCCGAGCATGTGCAAAAACTAAGAAAAAAACATATACCAGCCGATGACTAAATTATTTTTGAATACTCTCCTTTTCTCTTTTCTCAACAATAGGAAGCTTTTACTCTATGGTCCTTGACCATGACGTTTATTTAGTATTTCCTACAAATTATAGGATGGTAGTTTATACCCATTCAAAAACTGTAATATTACTGGGACCGTACTGTGTACTGTCAAAGGGCCTGGATTACCTGACATTTATGATATTGGACAAATTCTGAACAAAACAGTATAAACAGGGAAATTGCTCATTGTTTAAAATATATGTGATTTGTTTACATCCTACGTACATCAGTGTTTCAAACATTTGTGCTCTTTTTATTTATTTATTTTTTTGTATTTTTTTAGAGGATGTCCAAGAGGCATCCCCTCTTAATTTCCAGGAGACGTGTGTAATTCCCTTGGGACCGCATTAATTGGATTAAAGAAGCGCTGTCCAATGATGGTAAAGATTTTATAATCCCTTAGGATTTGCTGAAACCAGTTTAGGGACGGACCATTAGAAAAATTATGGGGGGGAGGGGAATTTTCGAGCCGCAGGAATTTTTTTTCGTTTTCAAATTCCTTGTATGAATTTTTTTTAGGCCATAGCATGAATATTTTGTAGGGTAAATTGGCGTGGAAGAATTTTTTTTCATTTAATTTTCCCTTGCGCGAATTTTTTTTTGTACTTCGACCGCCCCCCCC